GACAGCAGATATACACAGACAGCAGATATACACAGACAGCAGATATACACAGACAGCATATACACAGACAGCAGATATACACAGACAGCAGATATACACAGCAGATACACAGACAGCAGATATACACAGACAGCAGATATACACAGATATACACAGACCAGCAGATATACACAGACAGTAGATATACACAGACAGTAGATATACACAGACAGCAGTATACACAGATATACACAGACAGCAGATATACAGACAGCATATATACACACAGTACCAGTCAAAAGTTTGGACACACCTACTCATTCAAGGGTTTTTCTTTATTTTTACTATTTTCTACATTGTAGAATAATAGTGAAGACATCAACACTATGAAATAACACATATGGAATCATATAGTAACCAAGAAAGTGTTAAACAAATCAAAATATATTTTATATTTAAGATTAGCCACACTTTGCCTTGATGACAGCTTTGCACACCCTTGAAATTCTCTCAACCAGCTTCACCTGGAATGCTTTTCCAACAGTCTTAAAGGAGCTCCCACATATGCTGAGCAGTCGTTGGCTTCTATTCCTTTACTCCGCCATCCAACTCATCTCATGAAATGTCAGAATAATATTAGAGAGAATGATTTATTTAAGATTTTATTTATTTCACCACATTCCCAGTGGGTCAGAAGTTTACATACACTCAATTAGTATTTGGTAGTATTGCCTTTAAATTGTTTAACTTGGGTCAAACGTTTCGGGTAGCCTTCCACAAGCTTCCCACAATAAGTTGGGTGAATTTTGGCCCATTCCTCCTGACAGAGCTGGTGTAACTGAGTCAGGTTTGTAGGCCTCCTTGCTCGCGCACGCTTTTTCAGTTCTGCCCACAAATGTTCTATATGATTGAGGTCAGGGCTTTGTGATGGCCACTCCAATACCTTGACTTTGTTGTCCTTAAGCCATTTTGCCACAACTTTGGAAGTGTGCTTGGGGTCATTGTCCATTTGGAAGACCCATTTGCGACCAAGCTTTAACTTCCTGACTGATGTCTTGAGATGTTGCTTCAATATAGCCACATCATTTTCCATCCTCATGATGCCATCCATTTTGTGAAGTGCACCAGTCCCTCCTGCAGCAAAGCACCCCCACAGCATGATGCTGCCACCCCTGTGCTTCACGGTTGGCATGGTGTTCTTCGTCTTGCAAGCTACCCCCTTTTTCCTCCAAACATAACGATGGTCATTATAGCCAAACAGTTCTATTTTTGTTTCATCAGACCAGAGGACATTTCTCCAAAAAGTACGATCTTTGTCCCCATGTGCAAACCGTAGTCTGGCTTTTTTATGGTGGTTTTGGAGCAGTGGCTTCTTCCTTGCTGAGCGGCCTTTCAGGTTATGTTGATATAGGACTCGTTTTACTGTGGAAATAGATACCTTTGTATCTGTTTCCTCCAGCATCTTCAAAAGGTCCTTTGCTGTTCTGGGATTGATTTGCACTTTTCGCACCAAAGTACGTTAATCTCTAGGAGACAGAACGCGTCTCCTTCCTGAGCGGTATGACGGCTGCGTGGTCCCATGGAGTTTATACTTGCGTACTATTGTTTGTACAGATGAACCTGGTACCTTCAGGCGTTTGGAAATTGCTCCCAAGGATGAACCAGACTTGTGGAGGTCTACCATTTTTTTCTGAGGCCTTAGCTGATTTATTTTGATTTTCCCATGATGTCAAGCAAAGAGGCACTGAGTTTGAAGGTAGGTCTTGAAATACATCCACACGTACACCTCCAATTGACTCAAATGATGTCAATTAGCCTATCAGAAGCATTTAAAGCCATGACATCATTTTCTGGAATTTCCCAAGCTGTTTAAAGGCACAGTCAACTTAGTGTATGTAAAATTCTGACCCACTGGAATTGTGATACAATGACCGGTTGCATCACTGCTTGGTATGGCAACTGCTTGGCATCCGACCACAAGGCACTACAGAGGGTAGTGCGTACGGCCCAGTACATCACTGGGGCCAAGCTTCCTGCCATCCAGGACCTCTATACCAGGCGGTGTCAGAGGAAGGCCCTAAAAATGGTTGAAGACTCCAGCCACCCAAGTCATAGACTGTTCTCTCTGCTACCGCACGGCAAGCGGTACCGGAGCGCCAAGTCTGGGACCAAAATGCTTCTGAACAGCTTCTACCCCCAAGCCATAAGACCGCTTAACAGTTAATCAAAAGGCTACCCGGACTATTTGCATTAACTCCCCCTTTTTTTTGCACTGACATTCTGGCACTGGCTCTATCTACACTCACTGGACTCTCCCCACACACTCACACTGACATTCCAACAGACATTTACATACACACACACACACACACTCACATGCGTATTGACGCCACACACACACATACACACACTCTTCACATACTCTGCTGCTACTCTGTTTATTATCTATCCTGATTGGCTAGTCACTTTTACTTATACCTCAACTACCTCGCACCCCTGCACATTGATTCAGTACCGGCACCCCCTGTATATAGCCTCATTATTGTTATTTTATTGTGTTCCTATACTGAACAAAAACAATAACAAAAATATAAATGCAACATGAAAGTGTCGGTCCCATTTTTCATGAGCTGAAATAAAAGATCCCAGAAATTGGCATATCAAGAAGCTGATTAAACAGCATGATCATTACACAGGTGCACCTTGTGCTGGGGACAGTAACAGGCCACTCTAAAATATGCAGTTTTGTCACACAACACAATGCCACAGATGTCTCAAGTGTTGAGGGAGCGTGCAATTGGCATGCTGACTGCAGGAAGTCCACCAGAGCTGTTGCCAGATAATTAAAAGTTAATTTCTCTACAATAAGCCGCCTCCAACGTTGTTTTAGAGAATTTGGCAGTACGTTCACCAGCCTCACAACCGCAGACCACGTGTAACCACGCCAGCCCAGGACCTCCCCAGACCACGTGTAACCACGCCAGCCCAGGACCTCCCCAGACCACGTGTAACCACGCCAGCCCAGGACCTCCACATCCAGCATCTTCACCTGCGGGATCATCTGAGACCAGCCACCTGGACAGCTGATGAAACGGAGGAGTATTTCTGTCTGTAATAAAGCCCTTTTGTGGTGAAAAACTCATTCTGATTGGCTGGGCCTGGCTCCCCAGTGGCTGGGCCTGGCTCCCAAGTGGGTGGGCCTTTGCCCTCCCAGGCCCAACCATGGCTGCACCCCTGCCCAGTCATGTGAAATCCACAGATTAGGTCCTAATTTATTTATTTCAATTGACTGATTTCCTTATATGAACTGTAACTCAGAAAAAGCGTTGAAATTGCTGCATGTTGCATTTATATTTTTGTTCAGTATATATCCTCTTTTTTTTTTGCTAATCTTCTCTTACTTTTGAACTCTGCATTGTTGGTTAAGGGCTCGTCAGTCAGCATTTCACTGTAAAGTCTACACCTGTTGTATTCGGCGCATGTGACAAATACGATTTGATTTGCGTAGGTAGGCCTGTTCGGTTCCTCTCCCAAAAATGTACCCACATTGGACCAGTGGATAGCAGGTCTGACTATGGGCAGGGAGACCCACAAGGTGCGTGACACTGTTGCCATTCGCAATAAAATCACTAAGTTATAATACACTTATTTAACACGTAGGAAGATTATTACCTGTGTAGTGCTCTGTCAGGTGGAGTTCATGGATAAGTAGTTGGAGAGGAGAAGGGGTGTGGTCCGGGAGGGGACAGATGTTTCTGGCCAGGGAGGCCAGGTGCTGAGAGTTGGCATATTCCCCATCGTGGAGAGATGGCTGTCTGTCTGGAGAGGGGGTGTACATTTGACATTTTAGTCATTTAGCAGACGCTCTTATCCAGAGCGACTTACAGTTAGTGAGTGCATTCATTTTCATACTGGCCCCTCCCGTGGGAAACGAACCCACAACCCTGGCGTTGCAAGGGCCATGCTCTACCAACTGAGCTACACGGGGACTATGAAGGGACAGATGTTTGTGTGTCTGTGTGATTCAGCTCCTATGAAGTTTGTAATGTGAATGAGACAGGACTTTATAATCATTGTTTTGGCAGATTAAGTAGTAGACAAACATTGTAATCAAATAAATAACCAGCACATTCCGTACATTTTACATTTTAGTCATTTAGCAGACACTCTTATCCAGAGCAACTTACAGTAAAAAATAATCATACTGGCCCCCCGTGGGAATCGAACCCACAACCCTGGCATTGCAAACGCCACGCTCTACCAACTGAGCTACATCCCTGCCGGCCATTCCCTCCCCTACCCTGGACGATGCTGGGCCAATTGTGCGCCGCCCCATGGGTCTCCCGGTCGCGGCCGGATACGACGTACCCTGTTATCGTTAGGGTAGTGGTATTTGCTGGCTACCAGAGTTTACTCCAACCCCACTGTCATTACGGGAGGGGTGTGTTTGTCTACAATTCTAGCTGCCAAAAAATGTGTCCACTATATGTCAAAGAAACCCACACACACCTTCCCCCAGGACCAGGTTTGTAGAACACCCCTAGCCTCCACTAGGTGACAGTATGCGCCATATGTTAGAAGAGGTTTACCATTGAGTAAAAAAAAAAAAGAAGTTGTTGCTGCGTAAAACAGTGAGTACTATCGTGGAAATTATCTGAATTCGTGATAAAGTCGTGGTAAACTAATTTCTTGAGGTGAATGAGATGATCATTTAAAAAAAAAAGTATGACTGTTCAGCCCTCTTTAACGTTCATAGTAAAGATTATGCAATAAACATAATCGAAACTGCTACTCTGAAAACGGAAGCTACTGGTTGCTTGGTTGGTGAATTAGCCATTTGACGTTACAGATCACCGCTTTCGCTTCACTAGCTAGCTACACGTACAGCGGACTACTCGTCCACTCATGCTCTGGGCCCTATGTTAAACTATTTGACTACCGCCTCCAGATTATTTCTCCGAAACACCGTGCCCATCTCGTCGAGGGGTAACTACAACATCATCTGTCGGTTTTACAGGAGAATGGATCGAGCCGTGGTAAGATGTGTCCCTTGGGAATCCAAACTCACCATTTCCTTCGTCCTTGACGGGAGCAACAAACAAATGCTCAGGGACCAGACGGAGGAGCTAGGCAAAGCGCTGGCACGGATCGCCAACAGTATCATCAAGGGCCAGGGCAAAGCTAAGAAATCCAAGAAAAACAAAGGCGCGCCCACGGACGCCCAGGAGCCCGCTACAGCGGTGAGGCTGTACTACAACGGAGACTTTGTGGCAGGGGATGCTATAAACTCCGATGCCTGGCAGGATGGGGCAGTTTTACACGTGGGTGACAGTAAGTACACGGTGGAGAGGAACCCTCCCACATTCACCACGGCAGAGCTGCCCGCTTCTCTCCTGGCCGGGTTTCCCGTGTGCCCGAAGCTCAAGATAGAATTTGGGGATTTGAAAGACTGTCGGTTTAAATGGTTCAAGGAGAGCAAGTCGGGTGCAGGTGACGAGGAGCGTCGAGGAGAGACTGATTGGACCGAGGCGGGGAGCGAACGGGTGTTCATCCCTTCAAATATGGACATTGGCTCCAAGCTTAAACTGACATGCACGCCGGGAGATGGAAAAACGGTGTGGGATGGACAAGGAGTTAATAACCATCGGTACAGTCGAGGCAGGGCCTGGCACGTGTACCTTTGACAACAGACACATGTACACCAACAAGGTGACAGATGACACCGCCATCAGAGTAGTGTCATACAACATCTTAGCTGACGTTTACGCACAAACGGACCTCTCCAAAACCGTCCTGTACCCGTATTGCACCCCCTATGCGTTGGAACTGGACTACAGACAAAGTCTGATAAAAAAAGAACTGTCCGGCTATAACGCTGACATCATCTGCCTTCAGGAGGTGGATAAGAACGTGTTCGCCGACAGTCTGTCTCCGGCCCTGGACGCGTTCGGCTTCGACGGGGTCTTCAGGATTAAGGAGAAGCAGCACGAAGGCTTGGCCACCTACTACAGGAGGTCGAAGTTTAAACTGCTCAGTCAACACGACATAATGCTGAGTGAAGCTCTGAAGTCAGACCCGATCCACGAAGAACTGTTGGACAGAGTGAGCAGCAACCCTGCCTTGAAGGAGAAGGTGGTGCAGAGATCTACCACTCTACAGGTAGAGTAATGTGGGGGGGGGTGTTGGCTCCGGCTGTAACTAGGATCTGCTGGGATCCGAGGCCCTTTGGGATCTAGCTACAATCGGAGCTAGGCGTGTGTGTGTGTGTGTGTGTGTGGCTAGGCTAATTGACATGTGTGTGCTCTCTCCCCTCAGTTTGGCTCTGCTTGGCTGAAACCTTATTTTCTCCTTTGTAGGTGAGTGTCCTTCAGTGTCTGAATGATCCGTCTAAGAAGATCTGTGTTGCCAACACCCACCTCTACTGGCATCCCAAAGGTAAAGTGTTATTGTATCAGCAATGCGTTACTACACTTAGCCCTAGTTACAGTCTACCTTATTACAGGAGCCAAGAGTTGTTTCTCATCAAGTAACATGGTTAGGTAAAACTCTGGGCCTTAGCTATGCAGCACAGCATGACCTGTTTCACACTACTGAGCCGAGCTGAAAACTAAATATCCAAGCCAACCTATCACTGGAACCATGCTGAAAACTAAATATCCAAGCCAACCTATCACTGGAACCATGCTGAAAACTAAATATCCAAGCCAACCTATCACGGTTTAAGTTGGCACACTAGTGATAATCAAGTACATATTCCAGCCATAAACATATTCCATTGTTATAACGGTTTAACGGTTCTATATCCTCACCACAGGTGGGAATGTGCGTCTGGTCCAGATGTCCGTCGCTCTGAAACAGCTGCAGCAGGTGATCACCCAGAGTTACCCTGACGCCTCGCTCCTCTTCTCCGGAGACTTCAACAGCACCCCATCCTCAGGGGTTTACCAGCTGGTGAGCCAGGGAGCTCTGCCCAGCACCCACCCAGACTGGAGCTCCAACGGGCCGGACGAGCTCTGCCCCATGGAGGTCTCCAACCCCTTCCAGCTGAGTAGCGCCTGCGGGGAGCCGGCCTATACTAACTACGTAGGGGGCTTCCACGGATGCCTGGACTATATCTTCATGGACCCACGGGTGCTGCAGGTGGAACAGATGATCCCTCTGCCCAGCCACCAGGAGATCACTACCTGTCAGGCCCTGCCCAGCGTCTCACACCCCTCTGATCACATAGCACTGGTCTGTGACCTCAGGTGGAAGTGAAGCAAAGCTATCTCCCCTGTATACAGCGGTCTGTGCCTGATCCACCCCAGGGTCTCAGACTGGTGCCGTTTCTCAACCAGGAGCGGTCCCAATCACATCTCCTTTCTCCTGAAGTGTAAACTTGTTCATCACTTCCCACAAATCTAAAAGCGTTAGATTGGCGGAGGGTAGGGGGGTACTGGGAGATTACGCCATATTTCTGTTACCAGTCATTTCCTTTTAAATCAGTGAAGGGAAGTGAACCAGTGCACACTTTGGGAGAATGGAGAGATAATTGGGACATGGCCCATGTCTGTGTCTATATCAGGGCCCCTACATTGTGTTTCTAAACCATGTCCCTATATCAGGGCCCCTACATTGTGTTTCTAAACCATGTCTCTATATCAGGGCCCCTACATTGTGTTTCTAAACCATGTCCCTATATCAGGGCCCCTACATTGTGTTTCTAAACCATGTCCCTATATCAGGGCCCCTACATTGTGTTTCTAAACCATGTCTCTATATCAGGGCCCCTACATTGTGTTTCAGGGTTCTGACCAACTAGTACATCTCTTAAATGAAACCGATCACTCTGGGAACTGAAATAGCAGTGAGCAGCCTCCCTGAGACCAGGGCCCATATTCAGAAAGCATCTCAGAGTAGGAGCGCTGATCTAGGATAGGTTTTCCCTTTGGGGGGGGCTGATCCTGGACCAGTACTCCTACTCTGAGATGCTTTCTGAATACGTGCCCAGTGCTTGGGAAACCAACCAGGCCTCCGAGATGCTTTCTGAATACGTGCCCAGTGCTTGAGAAACCAACCAGGCCTCCGAGATGCTTTCTGAATACGTGCCCAGTGCTTGGGAAACCAACCAGGCCTCCGAGATGCTTTCTGAATACGTGCCCAGTGCTTGAGAAACCAACCAGGCCTCCGAGATGCTTTCTGAATACGTGCCCAGTGCTTGGGAAACCAACCAGGCCTCAGAGAGGCTTTCTGAATACGTGCCCAGTGCTTGAGAAACCAACCAGGCCTCCGAGATGCTTTCTGAATACGTGCCCAGTGCTTGGGAAACCAACCAGGCCTCAGAGATGCTTTCTGAATACGTGCCCAGTGCTTGGGAAACCAACCAGGCCTCAGAGATGCTTTCTGAATACGTGAGTCTTGCTCTCCGCCAGACAAACCCAGTAATGATGGAAACGCTTGTGTTGCTTCTGAATTGAGTTCCTTTCATCTGCACTGTGATCGGATCACAAAGAAAAACCACTGCAGATACAATTATACATTACTTTATTGCTTACATTAATTCAGTGATAATATAAACTTTTCATTCTACAATAAATTAAATAAAAACAAAGTACTTTTCATTCTACGATATCACAGTGTAATACAGAAGGCATTAGAATAAACATTATATAGAAGTAATATAAGAAAACATGAAACAGATGGGACTACTCAGGAAGGCACTTCCCTGGTTGGTTCTGTTAACATGCTAACAAAAACACTAGACTAATATATAGTAGACCAAGTCAAGAAAAATGTCCATTAATTCCAATTGAAGTTGCTCAATGGAGCATCAGAGTAAATGTAGCCGCCTCCTTGTCCATAAGCAGGAAGCTCAGCAAGTTCCAGTATTTCTTGAAGCGCTGGTCAGACAACCAGTCCATCCCCTCTATCAGAACTGACCAAGAGGCCTGGACAAACCACTGGAGACAGGAGGAGAGAAGAACCAGAAAAACAGCATTAACCAGAAAAACAGACGGCATATTCTTTACCAAATTTAGGCCGGGATTCAATCCAAGGCATGTTAAAAGCAGCGCATTACAAGACTTTTGAAGGTAATTTGCACTTGAGCCGACATGCGCAGCATTTACAGTGAATGCAATCTCCACGAACGTCTGGGGAAAATGCCTGTAAAAGGCAGCCGTCTCTATAACACGTGTCAAACTCATTCCATGGAGAGCCGAGTGCCTGCGGGTTTTCGCTCCACCATTGTACTTGATCGATGAATTAAGATCCCTAATTAGTAAGGAACTCACCTCACCTGGTTGTCTAGGTCCTAATTGAAAGAGAAAAACTAAAACCCGCAGACACTCGGCCCTCTGTAGAATGAGATCGACACTGCTCTACAATGTCTGGGAAAATGGTGTGAAGAATTAACAAAAATTCAGGAGAGAGGACCAGACTTGAACGCAATACTAACTAGTTGCCTTGAACAGAGCTCCCTAGCGAATCAACAAGCACCAGCTGCTACTAATGGCCAATCAGCCTCCACCAACAAGCACCAGCTGCTACTAACGGCCAATCAGCCTCCACCAACAAGCACCAGCTGCTACTAACGGCCAATCAGCCTCCACACCTGTTTGCAACACTAACTAGTTGCCTTGATAGCTGCTCCTCAAAAAGCATCAGCTGCAACTCATCGCTAACCAGCTTCTACACCTGTCCTCACTCCCCTTAAATCACCACCTGCCACCCTTCTTAAACATGACCAAACTAACATCCCCCCTGTTTGTTCTGCAGTGAATTGTCAAGCGGTGCATCCCTTCTATCTAGCATCTCTTAGGTTCTTCCAAGGATCTCCTGGGGTGGACTGCAATGGCCTGGCGACGAGGCCTGGCGACGAGGCCTGGCGACGAGGCCTGGCGACGAGGCCTGGCGACGAGGCCTGGCGACGAGGTCTGCTTGAAACGCCAAGCCAAAAGAGAGTCCACTCCCTGGATCGGGTCCATTCTCTCTCCTCTCTTCAAACCTCATTCTCACATCCCATTTCCTATATATAATATTGTAAACCCACTTAAATGTTTCGTCCTTAAACTCGTGAAATGCCTTAAAGGCAGATGTCTCTATAATGTCTGGGAAAATTCCTTTAAAAAGGCAGCTGTCTCTAAGGTGCCATAAATTCAATCCTGGCCAAAGTCTCTAGCCTGTACTTGACCTTTGATCCAACATGGGGTGTTATAATTTGTGCACACCCTAGCAAAACGTTTCACAATGGAAAATGTTTTACAACGAAAGTTGCTATTTTGCCAAATTCAGTTAGGTCCCTCAGTTTCTTTCTGTTCGGTTCCCTAGTGAATGCACCCATGATGCGTTACTACAGTAGAGGGCAGCGCTAAACGCTAACGGCTTGTCTAGCATCAGGCCACACAAACACATTTCTCAACTACCCCTTCGCCAACGCCCTGTCATTCTCTGCAACGTCAAAGCAGTGACCCACTCCTCCAGGTTCATGCTCTACAACAGGGGTAAGCAACCCTGTTCCTGGAGTACTGCAGAGACTGCAGGATACAACCCTGTTCCTGGAGTGCTGCAGGATACAACCTTGTTCCTGGAGCGCCGCAGAGACTGCAGGATACAACCCTGTTCCTGGAGTGCTGCAGGATACAACCCTGTTCCTGGAGTGCTGCAGGATACAACCCTGTTCCTGGAGTGCTGCAGGATACAACCCTGTTCCTGGAGTGCTGCAGGATACAACCCTGTTCCTGGAGTGCTGCAGGATATAACCCTGTTCCTGGAGTGCTGCAGGATACAACCCTGTTCCTGGAGGGCTGCAGGATACAACCCTGTTCCTGGAGTGCTGCAGGATATAACCCTGTTCCTGGAGCGCCGCAGAGACTGCAGGATTTTGTTCCACCTAGGCACCACACCAGGGGTGCGCTCAGTTCGCTTGAATGTTTGCAAAATTGAGGAATTCATTGGAGGCAGTTTGGAACTCGGTAGTGAGTGTTGCAACCGAGGACAGACGACAGCGCTACGCACTTCAGCACTCGGCGGTCCCGTTCTGTGAGCTTGTGTGGCCTACCACTTCGCGGCTGAGCCGTTGTTGCTCCTAGACGTTTCCACTTCACAATAACAGCACTTACAGTTGACCCGGGCAGCTCTAGCAGGGCAGACATTTGACGAACTGACTTGTTGGAAAGGTGGCATCCTATGACGGTGCCACGTTGAAAGTCACTGAGCTCTTCAGTAAGGCCATTCTACTGCCAATGCTTGTCTATGGAGATTGCATGGCTGTGTGCTCGATTTTATACAACTGTCAGCAACGGGTGTGGCTGAAGTAGCCGAATCCACTAATTTGAAGGGGTGTCCACATACTTTTGTATATATATTTTGTATTTTGAGGAAAAATTTACTTACTATGACTGATGTGGTTGTCTCACCTAGTGCATTCATCTTAAGATAGCTAACTAACTGTAAGTCGCTCTGGATAAGAGCGTCTGCTAAAAGACTAAAATGTTTAAAGGATGTCACATTGCTTGCTTAGCGAGTACCACTTCCTGGCTAGCTATTTCTTGAAGAGCTGGTCAGAGAGCCCGTCCAGTCTATCGGACCTGAACCCGACCCAGCCAAACAACATTCCCTCCTGAAGCGTCTTACAGTAACCAGTCACACCACCCTGAAGCTAGTAGCTAGCTGCTATTCGGCAGCGTAGGTGGAAACACTTCCACCCTGAAGCTAGTAGCTAGCTGCTCTTCGGCAGCGTAGGTGGAAACACTTCCACCTTAAAGCTAGTAGCTAGCTGCTATTCGGCAGCGTAGGTGGAAACACTTCCACCCTGAAGCTAGTAGCTAGCTGCTATTCGGCAGCGTAGGTGGAAACACTTCCACCCTGAAGCTAGTAGCTAGCTGCTATTCGGCAGCGTAGGTGGAAACACTTCCACCTTAAAGCTAGTAGCTAGCTGCTATTCGGCAGCGTAGGTGGAAACACTTCCACCTTAAAGCTAGTAGCTAGCTGCTATTCGGCAGCGTAGGTGGAAACACTTCCACCTTAAAGCTAGTAGCTAGCTGCTATTCGGCAGCGTAGGTGGAAACACTTCAGGTTGAAGAGTGAGTTAAACAGATCCCCATCTGCTACAAACACAAACTTCCTCCAGGAAGGGGAGGACTTTGAGTTTGGTGTCATTCAAGCTAAGCACGGACTCCCATCCAACATAATTTTCCAGTCATACTTAACAGGGGTCCTGAGCAGAAGCATCCGCAGTCTATCAGTTTATCTGTGATGTCACCGACAGACATGGCGTTGGGTAGGTCATGTTTTATTGGCGAACACCAGCGGAGCTATGTCTCCCAGCTGGTCCTCCCGGAGCTATGTCTCCCAGCTGGTCCTCCCGGAGCTATGTCTCCCAGCTGGTCCTCCCGGAGCTATGTCTCTCAGCTGGTCCTCCCGGAGCTATGTCTCCCAGCTGGTCCTCCCGGAGCTATGTCTCCCAGCTGGTCCTCCCGGAGCTATGTCTCCCAGCTGGTCCTCCCGGAGCTATGTCTCCCAGCTGGTCCTCCCGGAGCTATGTCTCTCAGCTGGTCCTCCCGGAGCTATGTCTCCCAGCTGGTCCTCCCGGAGC